CAGAAGAGATAATCTACCCGAGCTTCCGAAAAAAGTATTGTAAAACGTATAAAAAAAATTTTATAACAATTGTGTAATGATCTGCAAGATCGGGGCACTCGGGACGTTCACCCTGTTATATTATAATCTTATTATAATTCTATATTGCCCAGTTATACTAAAGATCAACCAAAATTTTTTTTGTCTTTTGTGTATATCAAAGCGACCTGCTAAAACAACAAGCATGAAGTGATTTATTAATGTATTTTTGTAAAAAGTGGCCTGTCAGGACGACAGTCATGAGAAAATATAGATATGGGTACATATAGCACTTGGGTTAGTGTTAGAATAGTCGTAGGGGAACTTAGGTTTTTTTCCAGATGAAATTGTCTAATTTTTTTTACCCTGCCCCTTGGGTACACAATAGTTTAGAAGCCTGTCAGTTTTTAGAACAGTGCTTTCGATTCTTTTGAATTCTGCACTTTTAGTAGGTAGATCATTGCATGTTTGCAGAAGAGACAGATAACCTATACTTGTTTTTCATTTGTTTTTCATTTGCCTCTTTGTAACACCCTCAATAAGAGACAAAAAAAAAGTTAGAATTATTATCAGAGAAGAGTTTAATTATTTATGTAAAAGAAAAAAAAGTTGCGAAATAATACTTAACCTGACTTGGATTATGAATACAAGTAAGTCAGAATTAGTTCCAGAGAAGAATTGAATTATTTATGTAAAAGAAAAATGCAGGGCGATACTTGATCTGACTCAGATTATGAATGCAAAAAAAGTTCAAATTATCTAGTGAAGAGTTGAATTCTTTATGAAAAAAAGGAGCAACACGATACTTAGCCTAACTTGGATATAATGTTTAAAATTAGTATCAGAAAAGAGTTGAATTATTTATGTAAAAAAAAAAAAATGTTAAAACGATACTTGACCTGACTTGGATTATAAATGCAAGTTAGTCAGAATTAGTACCCAGAGAAGAATTGAATTATTTATATAAAAGAAAAATGCAAGACAATACTTGACCTGACTTGAATTATAAATGTAAAAAAAGTTCAAATTATCTAGCGAAGAGTTGAATTTTTTGTGAAAAAAAAAGGAGCAACATAATACTTAGCCTAACTTGGGTATGAGAGAAGAGTTGAATTATTTATGTAAAAGAAAAAAAAAGTTGTGATAAAAAAAAAAAAATGCAGAGTGATACTTAACCTGACTCGAATTATGAATACAAAAAAAGTTCGAATTATCCAGCGAAAAGTTGAATTTTTTGTGAAAAAAAAGAAGCAATATGATACTTAGCCTGACTTGAATTATAGTGTAAAAAATTTAGAATCAGTATTCAGTGAAGAATTGTAAATATTTTCACATATTGAAATAAAGAGAAAACTTGATTATTCTTAAAAGGGTTATATTAATTTGCCATCAATAAAATCTCCTATGCATTCGTATTAAAATCAATCAAATAAAGTATAATTTCTTCTAAAAAATATTTGATCTTCATATAAACTAGTGTTGGGAAATGACTAGTCATTTGACTTGAAATGACTAAATGACCAAATGACTAAAATAATGACCTGGTCATTTGGTCATTTAAATATAGAGTCTTTAGAAGTTATACAAACCCAAAATTAACAAATATGATTGGTCTTTTTTAGTCTATATAATTTATAAATTTTATATAGATTAATTTTTATTAAACAAGTTTTTAAATTATTAGTTATTCGATAATATAAATAAAAAACAATTAAGCTGTTTTAATAAATAAAAAATATATTATTTGTAAAATATTTCTAATCATATGATCTAATATTAATAGTTATTATTTGCTAATTGAGTTTTAATTTGAGATTGTTGTACTTATGTAATAATGTACAAAAAATACAAGAAAAAAAATCTATAATTATAAAAGTTTGCATAATAATACATATTAGTGCAAGATATTAAATATTATATGAGTGCTGTCAATAAAAAACCTGTCATTGGGCTTTCAATATTTAGTTGGCTTTCTGCATGCTATCTATGGAAAATCTATACTGATGATAAATTGTCTATAGACGGTATACAGAAAACCAACTGAATATTAAAAGACTAATAACAGGTTTTTTATTGACAGCACTTATATAATATCTGATAAGTGCATAATCAATTAATTAAAAATAAAATTATATTGAATAAAATAATTAGCTCAAAATATGCCAAAATTATTATATAATATTAAACAAATACAATAAAAAAAAAATTAGTATTTATACATATAATTAGATTTAATTCAAACAATTTTAAATAATTTATAATAAAATTATAAACAAGTTTTTATATTTTATAACAAGAAATTACTTGAAAATAAATATTAAATAAACGTTACTATTATTAATTATCAATATATTAATTAAAAAAGTAAATAATTATTACTATTTTTAGAATATTATGAATTTATAATTTTGTAAATATATTATATATATTATATAAAATTTATAAATTATGAATATGCTTATTTAAAAATAGTAAAGTAAATTTTAAAATAGTTAGAACAAGTTAAATACATATATCAATTTTTTAATATAAATAAAAAAAAGAATTAATAAATTTTATAACTCTAATTTTTCATCATTATGGGGAAAAAAGAACACAAATTTCGTTCATTTTTTACTTTAACTGAACATCCTACAAATAAATCGAACAAAAAAGCTATTTGTATTTGTTGTATTGAAGCTAATGGATATGAAATAGCTAAAGATAATAAAGATTGTTGGACAACAAATATATTTAAATATTGTAAACTATATTTAAAAAATTGTCTAAATTTTTCTTCTAAGTATATAGAAGAAGAACAAGTTGAAATTTTAGCTTTAGATGAAGAAGAAATTAATTCAATAAAAAAAAAATCCTGTACAACTTATAATAGTAAGTATTAATTTTTATTGTATTAAATAATCACTTATAAATAGTAGGTTAGGGTCCCATAGCCTAGTAGTCTAGGCACCTAACCCTCCACAGACAAGGTCGACGGTTCGATTATAGCTGTTGGTAATTAATTTAATTAATTATCTCTGTAACCTTCAGGAGCTTTCGAATATAGAACCCTGTGGCGATAAGACTATGTGATATATATATTTAGCCTATAAAGAATTCTTGGAAGAAGCCCCGAGCCATGGAGAAGACTGGGCACTGCGTGTGGCATGGGTCACAGAAGATTTACTGCAGAAGGCTATGCATGTGAATCTACAATTGGCAAAGTAGCACCAACAACCCTAAGGCGGCATTGGGATCTTGATTGGGAGGACAGCTGTATGTGGTATTTCCAAAAGTGGTGAGAGAAGTGGTAAACATAGTAAGGGGCTGTGGTAAGAGGATGGCTTTACCAAATATAGAACACCTCTGGCACAAAGAAACAATGAAAACTGGCTAAAAGAATCCCTGAAAAGCATGGAAGCAAGCGATCTGGTGATACAAAAATAAAGACAGGCTAGAGAGTAATAGTCGCACAACCTATATAAAAGTCTATAATGAAATATGGCAGAAGCACAGGTTCCGGGTCACTGGCTTGTGACAGTGATTAAATGAAGTACATAACTCCTGTCCTAAGGATCTAGACTTTTGTAACACCATACCAATAGAGAGTACTATAAAAGGATTGGTAGTCTAATTTGGTGGTGTACGATGTGAATACCTGGATCGATATGAAATATCATCCTAGTTTGGCAACTTAACTATTTGAGATACGGCTAGGCCTATAAAGTAACTCCTCTAAAAACACCAAACTGGAAGCATGAAGAGCACCCACTCAAAGGACACCAATTTAGAAGTAATACAAGTATCGAATTAGGAGTAATATGATAAGTGATGAGGGATAGAAGTTGGTTGGTGGACATTGTACAGTAGTATATAAGCGGGATATATATGATAAAAATAGGTTTGGGAACCATCTGGTGATTTAGTAATTGGTCTGGTTGCAGGGTGGTTATTAAGGAGATAAAATCTTATATAGTAGGTCGCATATAGGTACTAAGTTAGTAACCGGGTGAGCCAATATCTCGTAATACATTAGAGTGTTGTAATTGTACATGTGATATTTGTAACCAAAATACCTTAGCGTACTAATAAACGGTATTGGCAAGACTGCCGAATTTAAAAAAAAATAAAAAAATCACTTATAAACAGCTTATTTTATGAAATTATTCTATAAATAATAAATTTTTATTATGTTATTTTCTTAATTTATTTAATTAAATTTGTTATTAGATGAAGAGCCAAATATTTTATCAACTTCTTCATCTAATATATCTTCAAAATCATATTTAGTTCAAGCAAAAATGTCATCTTATCTTGGACAACTATTATCTACAAAAGAACTGCCAACTTTTAATAATCTTTTGCTTTGTATAACTATTTCAAATGGATTTTCATTTTCATGAACAGAAAATAAAGAAACCAAAGAATTTTTTGAATTTATAGCATCTAGTTTAAAATTGCCTAATCGAAAAAAATTTGAGATGACCTGCGGGTCGATAGCATAGCGGTTATACTCCCAGGTTGCAAATCGGACGGTTGCCGGTTCAATTCCTCCCAGTGGCGAAATAATGAAAACCCAAATATGGAAGTGAAACACCGCAGGGTACAGGGAACTCGGGACATCTACAGATTGACATATTCGGGGAATAGTTATTCTGAGAAGTTGTGGCTGTAAAGTGAGGTGTGTTAGAACCCCGATTTAGAATAACTGAAGTCATAAGACGTACTGTAAGACCAAAGTCTGAGAAGATACTACAAGAACTCGTGGCACCACTGGATTGGCTGGTGAAATCCTAGTCTAATATTAAGGTGTTTTGACCTCTCCAGAGTGTCGTGCAGGCGGTCAGATCTAGGCCCCAATGAGGGAACCGGAGAAATGGCGAGCAATGAATCCCAGATAGATACACATGATTCCCGTATGGAAATTATGGAGGTCCTGTGACACTAGTAGCATAGGGTCAACTATAAAAATAGCTGGACCAAGTCATGTCTAGACTTGCCGAAGTAATAAAAAAAAAAAAAAAAAAAAAACAAATTTGAGATTAATTAGAGTTAGTTAAAGGTTATAGTAAAGTTTATAGTTAGCTCTAGAGTTAGAGTTAGAGTTTTTTTATATTATAATTTTATAATATTTCTATATTACTCAGCTATACTAAAGAAGATCCAAAATTTTCACTGTGACTATAGTCTCAACAGGCCACATAACTAAACAAAAACATCATTTTGACTTCATCTTGACAGACTATATAAACAACGATTGCCACTTGATAGGCTATAAACTAAACCAAACTAGCTACAAACAATAAATGTCGGTCCAATGGGTTCTTAAATAAACCTTCAAACATCATATGATCATGTGCTAGGGCCAGGTAGGGCAGGAAAAAAAACCAGACAATGTCGGATTAGCAGAAAAAAACAGAAAATACCTTTTCTGGAAAAAAACCTGTTCTCTCTAAATACTACTATCAATTACTAATCAAAAATTATGTCATCAAACAAAATCATCATATGATCATACAATCATGCATCAATAATCAGATGATATGATTATGCATCAATAATCAGTTATCTACATACCCCGTGATCGATTCGAGACAAAATGCTGCCCGATACTTTTGTATCGGGCAGCTAATTTTTACATCATATCTGAGTTAGGCTAAGTATCACATTGCTCTTTTTTTTTTCATAAAAAATTCAACTCTTTGCTGGATAATTTGAACTTTGCTTGCATTCATAATCCGAGTCAGATCAAGTATCGCCCTGCATTTTTCTTTTACATAAATAATTCAATTCTTCGCTGGATACTAATTCTGACTTACTTGCATTTATAATCCAAGTCGGGTCAAATATTGTTTCACACCTTTTTTTCAATAATTCAACTCTTCTCTGATGCTAATTCTATCTTTTTTTTTTATATCATATTCGAGTTAGGCTAAGTATCGCGTTGCTTCTTTTTTTTTCATAAAAAATTCAACTCTTCGCTGGATAATTCAAACTTTTTTTGCATTCATAATCTGAGTCAGATCAAGTATCGCCCTGCATTTTTCTTTTACATAAATAATTCAATTATTCTCTGGATACTAATTCTGACTTACTTGCATTCATAATCCGAGTCAGGTCAAGTATCGTTTCGCACCTTTTTTTTCTTTTACATAAATAATTCATCATTGGATACCAGTTCTAACTAACATTCATAATCCAAGTCAGTTCGATATCACATTGCCATCTTTTTGTTTTTTTTTGAATGAATAATTCTGAACACTTTTTTTTGTATTCATAATCCGTGCTTGTATTGTCGGTGTATTGTATCGTCGGTAAAATAAACTTGTCAATGTATTGTATCGTCGGTAAAATAAGCTTGGCGGTGTATTGTATTATCGGTAGAATAAGCTTGTCGGTGAAGTGTGGGTCGGTAAAATAAGCCTATCGGTGAAAACAAGCTTGTCGGTAAATTGAGTGTCGGCGAATTAGTTGTCGGTAAAAAACGTTTGTCGGTAAACTGATTGTCGGTGTAGTGGGATGTCTGTGAAGTGATTGTCGGTAATTTGATTGCGACCCATAAGTTATACACTACGTAAAACGAATATGATTGGTCAATATTCGTGTAACATATTTAGACAGTTACGCGATACTTATTTGCAACACCTACAATAATTATATAAATACTTTCATCACGACCTATCCTTATACGAACGTAAGGACGTCTACATCCAAAATTCGAGGCCTATCGGTCAAGTGAAATGTCAGAAAATTTTGGGGTAAATGATTTAATTAAGGGTTCAGCAGTTGCAGCACATATAATAATAGGGCTATCTAGATGTTTTGTAAGAAAAGACAGTTTTCGTTTCTAAGCTAATGCTTGTATCCTAAAATACAACTGACATTCTTCATTATACCAAAAATTTTTATTGTTTCATATTTTTGTATGGTTTATATTTTTTTTTCTCCTCTAAAAAGAAATGACACTTTAAGACTATGTATTAATGAAATCAAGTTTGAAATTTATTGGTTGACATGACCAATTTATAAAATATATATTTAAGTATAAAAGAAATTAGAAAATTTAAATTTTATACAGTAGTATTAATAGATAATACCTTTAATGAGTTCTTGACCAATAGAAATATGAATAGTTAAACATTTCTTAACGATTGTGTGAATTATGTATCGAAGTACAATATAAAATATTTTGATACCAAAAGCTTCAGAATTCAAATCTACTTTATAAAATAATCTTTCTGCTGATTTTTACATTGCGGCGAATTTATGAAATACCCCAAATTTTGAAAAATTTGACCACTAAGATATAAATATAGATTTTGGCTGAGATAAGAAAATTTTCCCAGGCTATGATGCGTCGTTATAATAAATTTATATGTCTAATAAGGGTGGGGAAGATCTAGATCAGAGGTCCAAAAAAATTTTTCGGTGTTTGGTATCGATTTATTAATGTGTAAATTGGTAACTAAGATTTACTTTGGGGGACAAAATACTCGGATTTGGTGACCAAATTATAGCCAAATTTCATAAATTCGTTGTGATGATTTATTTTATTTTTAAATGGTTCAACCTTCACCAAAGCAGAAAATATAGAAAATTTAGCTAATCATCGGACACTTCAATATGCTCAATAGGGCGACTTATTGGGTCACTTATTGCTAGAAAAATAAGATTAAGAGTTAGTTGGTCTAACTTCTTATAACTCATAATAAAAAAGGTACTCAATGCAAAGACTAAATAAAGTCTTAAACAGTTTAATTCTTGAACTATTCATTACATAGAATCATGCACATTAAAATATAATTTAAGGCCAATGTTTTGAGATAATATGCTTACCTGAATTTACTGGTTTAGGAAGGTTTTGAAAGTTCAAAGATCGACTTGTATAAATAGCTCGTTTATG